ATATATTTTCTTAAAAGAGAATAAGAGAAGTGTGTAACAAGAAAACCCAAACATGGATATTTAAAACGATGTCACCAATCTTGTCTTTCTATGACAAGCTTTAAGATTTATAGTGCAGCAAAGTTTTAAAAAATACGTTTGATTCTGCTAGTAGTGTACACTACAGTTCAGGAGCAGTCAAACTGGTACTTCACTGCATATCTTTTCCTTTAAATAGAACTGGTACAGAGTCTGGGAAAGAAGCATGTAATATTAAAAATATGACAAGAAGAGAAGAGTAGTAAGGAAAGAGAAGTGTCAAATTGTAAAAATACATTTTAGTGGAAAAGAAACATGTTCTTGGTAGGGGTACATCATGTTGGAATAATATATTGAAATATAGATGAATAAGCTATGAGAAAGAGAGATCCTGCTCATAATTAATTGAGCTTATGAACTCTTTTTTTCTTATTCAGCTCAGTGATATATTTTTAAAATATAAGAGTCCGGGAGAAGAAAAAAAAAACACACATAGCTATCATCATTCTTCTTGCTTTAAATCTAAACAAAAAAATGAAAGAAATAGAAATGCAAGTGAAGCTTACAAGATTCCATTCGATATGACAATAAAGGGATTAAGTGATTGCTTCTCTTCTTTTAAATTTTTCATTTTGAAATAATTTTAGATTTACAGTTTGTGAAGATAGTATAAGGAATTTTTTAAATATTTTAAATCTTCACTCAGATTTTTAATGTTAGCATTTTGTATAACCATGACACATTTATCAAAACTAAGATGCTGACGTTAGTACAACACTGTGAACTAAGCTACAGACATTATTTAGTATTCAATGTTTTAAAAATAATGTCCTTTTGCTCTTTCTGAGTTCAATCTAGTGTAGTATATTGCATTTATTCATTATATTCCCCTAGTCTTTAATTTGGAAAAATTTTAAGTCATTCTTCATTTTTAAAATCATTGAAAATTTTGAATTATTGATGTGTACTCTGAGGTATTTTGGACTATGCCCCTCTGTTTGGTATTTCTCGTCATCACATGGGTATTGTGGGCTTTTGAGAATGATACCACAGAAGTCAAGTTATCTTTTGATGGCATCACATCAGGGGGCCTATGATAACAAATTACTATTGGTAACTTTAAACTTTATCACTTGGGTAAAATGGTTTCTGAAATGCTGTTGCTCCCCTGGTTCAGCTTGCACTAGGACAAAAGCTTTCTTTAGTTTCTCTCTGGTTCTATCAGTTAAGAAACTGGTGGACATCCAGTCTTTAATCTGCAGAAATGGGAACACCTATGTCAGTGAACTCCAAAATTCCCCCCAAATAATTTAATATGTAAAACTTGTAAATCAACAGTCTTGTAAATCAACAAAGGGATGTTTAAGTTGTTCCAAAAGAGAAATGCATTCTTCTATTCAAGATATATCAGTAAAGTTATCTGTAGGCCAAACATACTTTGTAAAATATGCCTCAGTGAATTAAGCAATATGAAAAATATTCCTGGCTTTCCTGTTTTCACTCTGTGAATGTTAATATCCACTGTTGTTTTGATGGATATTTCTCCTCCAGCTGGACACTTTAGATTCCAAACCTAGGTGACTCTAACATTTAAGCTTAATTGTCACTTTGATTGGCTGGTGACTCACCAAGGGGTTTAGTAAAACACACTTGTGGATATGCCTAGGTGGGTTACAGAGATGTGCCTTTGGTGTCTCCATCTGATCCCTCACACCTTCCTCTCTGGTGCTGTTCCCATAACAAATGAAGCAGCTAGCAGCTTTGCTCTATCATTCCCCTGTACCATGATATTCCTGTCTTGGAGCGAGCCAACAATGGTTTAAATTCTCTGAAACCATGAGACTTATAAATTGTAGGTGTTGGACAATTTTCTCCCAGCGAAGGAAAGCTGAGTAATACAAAAAACTGGTACCAAAGAAGTGGGGTCCTTGCTATGACTACACCTGATTGTGTGGTTTCAAAGTTTTTGGAATTGGTTTGTGAGAGGAATGTGGAATGTTTTGGAGATATGTACCAGCAAAGTCTTCAGTGACATAAGTAGAACCTGATGAGTAATTCTGGTCAGAGCTCAGAAGACAAGAATGCTGAGAGTAATGTGGACAGTCAAGTCCAGACTCACAAGGTTTTAGGTGGCAGAAAAGATTTCATTAACAATTAGTCTAGAAGTCATGTGTGCTACACTCTGGGGAAAAAAATGTGTCTATATGCCAGATGCAAGAGTTGTGGGGTCAATGAGGCTTCCAGTGAGATTTCAAAGAAAGACATGGAAAGCAAGTCGAGAAGCCTCTGAGAAGACAGTGTGTGAAGCTGTGAAAATGAAGCCAAAAGTGAACCAGAGACCTCAGGATGTCAGAGATTCCAGAAACATGGAATATATTACAAAAAACCCTGTAGGCTGAGAGTGAAGCCAGCCCAAGAGAAGGGTCATGTGAGTCCCAGCTAGCAAAGTCATGGAGATGGAGCCACTGAAGCTCTCTGGAACTGACATATTACCACACTAAGCCCAGGATGCTGGATAGGAAACTATAGGATTTAACATTTATCCTGTTGGTTTTCAGTCTTGATTTGGTCCTAGTGATTTCTAGCTCCCTTTTTGGAATGGGAATGTTCACTGCGCCATCATATCCTGGGACTATGTGACTTGGTTTGATTTTTACAAGGATTAACAGCCAAGAATTTGCCTTGAATCTTAGAGGACACTTGGACTTGGGCTTTTTTTTAGCAATGCAGGGAATGTTAACAATTTGGGGAGGGATTACTATGTTTCAGTTGTATGTGGGATATTTATATCATATTATTTGGTGGTATTGTTAGCCAGTTAATGGGTTTTATTTCAGGTTAAGTATTATTTAAGAAGATATGCTTGAGTGTTAAGTTGACACTAAGATAACAATATTATTGTTAAGCTTAATTATCAACTTCATTAGCTTGAAAGCTGTGTAGGGAATTAGGGAAGCTCACTTTTGGGTGGGTCTTGGTGAGTTATGGAGGTATGACTTTGAGGTCTATATCCAGTCCCTTTCCTTTTCCTCTCCAGGGCTCTTCCTCTGCTCTCTTTCAAGTCAACATTTTAAAAAAGCATCTTGCATCTTTATTATTCCACACTACCTGCTCCATGGTGTTCCTACTTTGGAACCAGGCATCTGTGAAGTGAATTCTCTGAAACCATGAGCCAAATAAACCTCTCATCCTTGAGGCTGTGGGTGTTGTGCAATTTGTTCCAGCAAGAAAAATCTGACTAATACAGTGACCCATTTGACTTGCCATAGCTTTTATTTATAATGGCTAATGGTGGGTACTTTCTTAGCAACCCAGTGCTTATACAACATAATCAGTAATGACTCTGCCCAGGCTTATAGTTGAGGAGGAAGGACAAATTATACTATGTGAAAAATGGATAGAAAAATATGGCAAGCAAAAATAGTGAGTATGTATTTCTGCCTCACATTGAGTCATTTCTTCTCTGAGCTGGAACATCTTGGTCTATTGATAAAATCCTGTAGGTTCCTTTTGAGAAAACACTATAAAGTATATTTTGATGATTTCCTTAATATTTCTTATCCCTTATTTGCAGTGAGGAATATCTTCCCTAGGTGCTGATATTTGGAATGTGAGAAGAAACAATTTTCTGTAGGTGTATAGGTGAGAGACACCTTCATTTCACTTTCATAAAAAATTCACAAGTCAAATTGAATTTAAAATTTGGTCAAACAGTATTAAGAAATACACCAATGTTATGTTAGTTTTAAAAATCATTTCAGAAGCAACAGCTTTTTCATTTCTTTTCTTTTTCCTTTATTTTTCCTCAAGAAAGCTGAAAAGGTTTACTGTGCCATTCCCTATCAGGATCCTGAGGAGATGGGGAGATGCTTAACTAATAATTGCTAGCTGCTCACAATTATAAACTGTGCTTTTAAAGTAAACAATTTACTTAATTCATTTCAAAATGGTTTGATACAAATGTCAGTTAACACAGATTAACATGACAAAGAAAATCTAAATGGTTATACCCTTTTATGAAATCAGTTGTTTTCTATAGAAAAAAAAACAGGTTGTATTTTATGGTCACTTCTGAAGTACTTTGGAGATGTTATGTAGACACAGTCTCTGGAGAATTCCTTTCCTGGTTCAGGCAACCTCTGCAGTGATTGTGCAGTCTTATATTACTCTAAAACTGTGCATTTGAGTCAGAGGTGCCAATGGCAAGAAAAGTCTGGGTTACCCTCCAGGGATTTGTCACAGTTTATTTAGCTCAAGCATGGACTCAGAAACCTGGAAAATGTACTCTTTTTGGCAGCCCAGCACTTTTTGTAAGTAGTAAAGTTCAAGCTATCAAAGAACCTTTCAATGTGACAATTATATAACACAATATGTGACCTTTACAAGATTTAGTTTGGGAAATCTATGCTGAAGGGTCTCCCTCCTCCTAGTATATTCCTTGCATGTTCTCTGCTTCCTCTCTTAAGCATAGAGTTTAGACAGAGAAACAGTCTGACTATATGTCAACCATTTGATCTATATCACACTAGAAAGTGTTTTAACATTATGAAGACAGTAAAATGTGTTACCGTCCTGCTATCTCACCTGATAATTTGAAATAATGTGGCTTCCAAATACTTCTATAGTGGTCAAAGTTGTGCTCAAGAGGACATTCCTTCTAAAGAACAAGATTGGCAATCAATGGTTACCACTGGACTGTTTCCGAGACAATAAACTGGTTTAACCTATAAAATACAAGAATCTAAAATGGAATAGAAAGGCTTAAGTCTCCACTCAATTATGGAGGTAATTGGAAGAATGATATGGTCTAGATTAAGCAGAGATGAGCTAGTCTTTTGCAGTTAATATTTTTAATCAAATTCATAAATTTAAATTAGATGTTTCCAACATTCCAAAAATATTTCATATATTAAATTTTTGTCTCTAAATATTTTTTAATATTTTTTATACCATTCTATATAGTTTTCTAAAACTATCAAACTTAGAATGTTAATCGTTTGTAACATTTTAGTGACTGAAAGGCTGGAACCATGCCCATGTACTTCTTCAATTAATATATATTTATCAACCATCTCCTATATGCGATGAATTTTTCTAAGTTCACAATACAATAATGGAAAATTAAAAGAGAAATCTCCTTTACCTTTTTTTCTTTTCTCCTGTCTTTTTAAGGAAAATCATATACCAGTTTCTTCTTTTTTAGGTGAAACCCATAGAAGTTTTACATCCTTACCAACAAACCACAGCAGAATTTGCAAACTGCAATCAGAAGTGACATGAAAGAAATAAGAGGCTATGCAATTGACAGTAGTGTAAAGGGAGTTACACAGGTTGCTTCAGTATTCTTTTTTCAGTATAGTCAAAGGTGACCTGAAAGTGGATAGGAAAAAGGTAAAGAGAGTTATTTTCTGTTAAATAAACCCAGAGATCTGTGGTTCAGACTCACAATTTGAAGTCCATTTGTATTGCATGCAATAGCATTTTACAGGATCAGGGGTTAGAACAGAAAGATTTCATGATATAAAAAAACACAAAACTATTTTTTAAGAAAGCATTTTTTCTTTTTTCTCTATCTTTTCTTTTTTGATTTTTTTCCTTATGAACTAGATGCTTTTCTGGCAATGACATTTTGATTTTGTTATACCATAAAACAAAACTAGAGGAAAATAAACAATACAGATATCAAAATACAGCAAACTTACTAGTGTGAAACCCTTTGATAAATATAATAGTTTCTAATTACTGACATGAATGTATTATTAAAAATTAACAAGCCAAGAGGCATATTGAATGTTTTGACATGACAGCTTAGTTAAATTATTATACTGAGATATTTTCATTTTATTCTTAAAATAAAAGCACTCATCTCTGGTTCAATTAATAAGTGTCAACTGTTCAAAATTTATATTTCTCACCATAAATCAACTGACTACAAAAGGAACATTTATGGTTTCAATATAAGTATTTTCTCCCCAGAATAACTTTATAATATGTTGTATTTCTCAAATGATATATGCTAAAGAGTTCATAGAAGTAGAGTTCATATGAAATCTTATTAAAATTCTTCTTGAGGAAATAAAAATCAGACATTTCATAGGTCCAATAATTTCTACATTAATGCATAAAATAAAATTAAAGGAATTTATGATTATTTTTTAAAGCATGGGGAAAAACACTTTGTTCTTATATCCAGATTATATACAAAATACATATAATCTAGATTAGCTGAGTTATCCCAATCTTCATTCAAGCTACACATGCTTTCTTTACTTAAATTTCATAGATCTGATGAAGACTTCTCTGGGATTTTACAGAAAACCTGTTCCTCAGATCTCAGATTTCCGATGATCACATTGGGTTTATAAACCTAAGAATCTAGAACCTTATATTTACTTTAAGTTTATGCAACACTTAAACCAAAGTAGATTACTCAAATATTATGCTTGCTTGCTTGCTTGCTTGCTTTCTTTCTTTCTTTCTTTCTTTCTTTCTTTCTTTCTTTCTTTCTTTCTTTCTTTCTTTTTCTTTTTTTTGTACTGGGAATCAAACTCCAGTCCTTGTGCTTGCACAGCAAGTGGCGAAACTACTGAGCTAAATCCCTGGCACTATGCTCTTCTTTCTTAAAATCTGCCTTTGTCACTCCTAGTTGACTTGACTATGTATATTACTATAGTCACATTTGAGAGTTGCATGAACAGGGGGTGGGAATAACAATGACTGCTAGGAGAAAATGGCGTATGTCAAAAGTTTTGCAGGTTCTGAATTATATATATTAGTGGAAATCCTGATATTTTAGTGTAGCAAAAACATTTAGGTACATGGAAACTCTTATTCTTCACACAGGATTCAGTCTTCTTGTCAGGCTTCCTGAAGCTTATACTAATAATTTTTCTGTTTGGTTTTATTAAGTCATATACATAAACTTATAACAATATGGTGAAGTTTATTGGAACTTCTTTTGCATCTTACTTAGGAAAGGGGTAGAAGACTACTAAAATGGGTATATCACAGGAGATTAACACATAAATCTTAGGATTCATCATTTGCCTATGTTCTCCTAAAGGGCCCAGAGGTAGTTCCATGTCTAAGACAATAAGGAATATACTGTTGAGGAGAATATTAGTCTCTTTATGTGATAAAATCAAGCCAGACTAGGAACTGACATGAAACTATTTGTTATGTTTTCTTTGGATTCCATTGATAGGCAGGATCAATTTCTGTTTATTATCAAAAAGTGTGGATACAAATGTATGTTTATTGTATACACTTAGTATTTTCCTCATCTATCAAAGTAACTCCTGATCTCTGACATTAATATTGCTTATAGATACTGTATTTGTTAGTATTTCATAAACATCAATTGTCCCAGTATATTATTGAAATCATGCCAATTGGACATACTGAGCAAAAGTAGTAATCTTAGTACCCTAGTAACAAAAACATATATAAGAGCTATGATCATTGATTCAGGGATCTGTTGAATACATAAAATTTAGATATTTGATCATTACTAAGATAACTTCCTTAAGACAGAATGGAAATTATTTGAATCTTGAACATTTTATTACTAAATATCTGGATCCCTCTCTAGATTATAATGGTAGAACGTACATCAATTATAAATCCTGCTCCAATTTATTTATCTGTTAACCTGGACTTCTCCTGGGAATGGTGTCAGACTTTCTCCTTGGTTGCCATCATGCTGGTGCAATAGGTACATGAATAAAGAGATATAGTAATGGAGATGAAGATTATGGATTTACTTAGCCAAGGAATTAACTTCAAACATTGATAGCAGTGTGTTTTTATTTGACATAATTAAGTAACAGGATTTGTCAGCAGATTTAATACAAAGTTCATTTAGTTCATTTATCCAGTAACATTAATTTTGGCCTTAGTGGAATTGACACTCAGAGTACAAATTTACATGTGTATCATCATACTTCAAAATATAGCTCATTCAAGGACTTATTGAAAAATGAAGATCTCTAGTACAAATATGTATTCTAATGAAATTCTTACACCTGTGAAACTAGGCTTACAGACTGATGTTTACTGTATAATGCAATATGCATCAGTTGGGAAGGAGTAAATACTTCATGGCATATTAATGTAGTAGAGAACCACATTTCACTTAAATGTACCCATTAGTAATATTTATGGTAGATATATCTTCTTTTGTTTATTTTGGCTTTTCTTGCATATCTATCAATAAATATTTATGGTAAAGGTATTATCTTTTGCACATTTTATCTTTCTTTAACATTTTGAAAATTAATGTCTAATATTATCATTGTTTTACAACCAGATCTGAGTATTATCTAGGAACAGAAAAAATGAGGAACATAAAAATATTTTTCTTATAACTACCTTTGATCTTAAATTTGACAACCAAAGTTGAGGGCAACTGTATATGCTTTGGCAGTTATCAAATGTGCTGATAATAAGAATTAGGTGAAGAATATGTTAAATTATAAAATACCAAATCCTTACTTGAATATTGCTATTTCATTATAAGGAGTGAAAATAAAGCTTTTGTCTGTGGAAAGAACCCAAGATTATTGATAATTTTCAGGTCAATTGGAAATAACACATTAAGTTATATTGTTCTGGGAACTTCAGCAATGAACTTAGGACATTCACCTAAGAATTTAAGAAGAAAATTGATGTTTTGTTGAAAGAGATATTTGATTACAATATTAATTGTATTGTTTCCTGGAATCTTGTTCTTTAAGCCTCATATATAATTAAGATGTGAGATCCATTTGTGATGATTTGCTTCTCAACACTTAAACAATGCTTTATGTAAAATTTGAAACAAAGATAGTTCTGTATTCATGAACTCTAACATGTGATATGCAAATAAGAAAGTGTCATCAAATGGCTCACCTATCTAAATGCTATTGTTATCATTTGTGTTTAATTATCCCCCTAAAGCCTTATGCGGTCATAGGTGGGGCTTTTTCAGAGGTGGCTGGATCTGGAGTGTGTGAGGCTGGGATTGATTCATGGTGCAATGCTAGGATCAAGGGCTCTAGGATTAAGGTTGTGAGTACTACCTAATCTAAGTAGTCTGGATAAGATAAAAGGGGCAGAAAGATGCTGTTAACGTCTCTTACTGCTTTTGTTGTCTTGGAGTTAGCCAACTAGGGACTGCCCTGCCCTGGGATCAGCCACTATGGATCTGCCCTGGAGTCAGGCAACTATGGACCGAAACCTCTATGAATTGTAAGCCAAATAAACCTTTCCCCCTTTTACTTAGGGGATCTGTTGTTTTGTCTCAGCAATGACAGAAAAGTAACTAAGACAGGTATGGAATAAATGAAGAATATTTTTGTTTAGATAGTTTAAAATAATTTTAGTTACAGACAAAAATCTTTTAAAACATAAAGAGTGGGAATAGTCATATTCAAAACTGGAAATCTGATTAATCTATAGTACTCAATTACAGTCTAAAGTAAGGGAATATATATAACTGTTATATCAATATTTTTAAAATAGAAAATAATTTCCACGAACACATAGAAACTGTTAGAGTGGTTAGCATTAAGTTTCGAAGTGATAAACCAGGTGTATTTGCTGTGTTATGAAGTATTATTTGTGTCATATAAAAAATACAGACAGTATATGCCCTTTTAACCTTCCTTTGAATAAATAGTCACAGAGTGATCTGGCTCTTGAGAATATGGTGTATCACTTGAACATTTTAAAGCTATCTCTCTTAGCACCATTTTCTCTTATTGTTTTATAACAATATTTCTTATTGGTTCAGTATATAGAATATATTATAATACACAAATATTAACATAACAAAAATATTTCCTGTGTAGAACAGTATTTCTGCAAAGATATATTCATATTCCATGAATTTACTTTGTAAATTTTATAGGAAACAAATATTTTTTTCTTGTTAAAAGAGATATTAAAAAATAATTTGAATAAGGTGGATTATCAGTGGGAGATAGATAACTATTATTTACTATTTTATTTACTTATCAAATACTTTCTCTAACCTTTATTCCTAGCATTTATTTATAAGGAAAAAATGTTATACACCAGCACATGCATTTGCTCATCATTGAACAAAATGCTTGTATGTTGTGAACTCCATAACTACTCAATACAGTTTTTAGTCAACAATTAAGAAATATTAATTGTATTCATATTAAGTACTTTAATATGTTTACTTTAATATTAC